TTCTGTCGACCGAGAGGTTCTCTGGCGATGCTTTGCTGTCAAAGGAATGCCGAAAAAATACATTGCACTGATCAAGGCACTCTACTCGAACTCATGCAACCAGGTGAGGGCTTATGGCGAGTTGTCATCTGAAGTGGTGACGACTAGTGGCGTCCGTCAAGTATGCCCATTATCCCCATTCCTATTCAATTTCATCATAGATGTACTAATGGACTTAACCCTAACTCACTTCAGCGACTCAGGGATTGACTTGCTACCAGGGAAGAATCTCGTTGACTTAGAATATGCGGACGATATAGTCCTTCTAGGCGAGGACTCTGACAAAATGCAAAGTCTACTGAACACCCTGAGCAACAATCTCCGCATGTTTGGCATGCGATTCGCCCCTATAAAATGTAAGATGATGCTGCAGGATTGGACTTCATCGACCCCTAGATTAGAAATAGGAAGTGAAGTGGTAGAACACGTTGACCGCTTCACTTACTTGGGAAGTACCATCAGCCCCAACGGGTTGATCTCCGACGAAATTTCAGCACGAATACAGAGGGCTAGGTTCGCATTCGCCAGTTTTCGCCGTCTCTGGCGTAGACGCGATATCCGACTATCGACCAAAGGGCGTGTGTACTGCTCAACAGTCCGCTCCGTCCTCCTTTATGGCTGTGAGACCTGGCCATTGAGAGCAGAAGACATGAAAAGATTAGCTGTCTTCGATCATAGGTGTCTGCGTTCTATCTCCCGCGTGAAGTGGTATAATAAGGTGAGCAATATTGAGGTTAGGCGTCGAGTGCTAGGTAAGGCGGGGAAATCAATCGACGAGACTGTGAAATTACTTCGACTGAGATGGTTAGGACATGTGCTACGTATGCCTAATCATCGCCTTCCTCGACGGGCAATGTTAGCTGATATAGGGCCAGGCTGGAAAAGAGCTAGCGGCGGTCAAACGAAAACTTGGCACCAGTCAATGAAATCCACAACAGTTAGTCTTAGCCACGTAGGAAGATGTAGACTTCCTGGTTGGGGTCCTCGGGACGGTAAAAACCAATGGTTGGAAACAATTGGTGACATGGCTCAAAATCGTTCTCAGTGGCGCAGATGCATCCACTCCTTGTGACTTATGATTTCCAATTAAACTTTTGTTACAGGATTTCATCATGAGCTGACATCAGTTAGAGAACCATTGGAAAACCTGGGAGTACTGGACAGCTGTTTCGTCCTATTTTGGGACTCTTCAGCAGTACGCACCCACCGGGATTCGAACCCAGGACCTTCTGGTTACAAGGCGAGCTCGTAGACCATTAAGCCACTGGGACCCGATCCAATGGTCCATGAATTCTAACTTCTGCCAATTCACGACATAGCGCGACCCCTAGCCAATGTCTTCGGCGAGTATTTGTCCTCACGCCCGACCTGCTGCACCCTACTGGTCACGACTTCTCACTAGAACCCCAGGTGACTACCCACCTGAATAGGGCAAGTCGCTAGTGAGCATCTCATTGATTTTCAAGTGTTGGTTTGTAGAGATTTGATTGGTTACAGGATTTCATCATGAGCTGACATCAGTTAGAGAACCATTGGAAAACCTGGGAGTACTGGACAGCTGTTTCGTCCTGATGTCAGCTCATGATGAAATCCTGTAACCAATCAAATCCCTACAAACCAACACTTGTAAACTTTTGTTCTCCGTTATTACTATTCCTTTGTCTCACACCTCTGTTTACTGTCTCTAATATGCATTTCTTCTACTTCCTTCTCTTGCTTTGCGTGCTACATAGATTGTGGCGACTTGAACTGCCGCACATATGTGCAAAGTTCTATGTCGAAAACCGACCGACCGACCGGTTCTTCAGAATCTCAGCCGCAGTATCACCTTTAGATTCGACGTTCATAGATAGCAGTTTCTTCAGCACTGTCTAGGTTCTTTCGGGATTTCGCTTTACCTTCACATTTCTACTTGGTGAACTCAAGTCACGTAGCTCCACCAGAGTCGTCTTTCAAGATTATCTACAAGGTGAGGCTAAATGGTACAAAGGGCGTCAGGTTTAATACTATGTTCTCTGTTAAGAGGTGTAAGTAAATTCTGCAAGATGAGAACATTTGACCTATTGTTTGTAAGCTAAGTGTCTCACCTTAGTGATTTGGCTAGAAAATCTCTTTCACTTCGAAGAAAAAGAACAACTTTATTAACAAGTAATCCGTACTTTTATTTCACTGCTCACCTCATTCAAAGATTTACCTTCATATTTCCCATGGGAATGACACAATAAGTTGTGTTTAATGAACATCATGATATTCATGTCTTACGGTGAAATAGTCTCTGTATATTTGGTTGGTTGGTTGGTAACTTGTTCAAACTTAGTTGTATACGGCATAAATCCCAACTTCCTTCCAAGGTTTCATCTTGTATAATATCAAAGTTATGAAGTTATGAGTAATTTCAAGCCAACACAGTTCTGTTAGTTGTACAATGGTGAAATGTTCCACATGCACACGTGGTTTGATTTCCGGCAGTCATCTCACTATCTATCGGCTAGGTGTAAGAGTAAATCTGGAGGGGAGGGGGAAGGTTATGTATGCGGCTAGCTAGCGACCCCAACCCACAACACAACCTCTATTGAAACTTCAGAAGCTTGAGGCGTTATGCTCCCTCCAGAATGCAAGGAATAAAGAAAAAATAAGCATAGTTATCCACTGTGAATAAATTTCGCTTCGACAGCCCACCATATTACTTGTTGTAAGCGAAGTACAAGCTCGAAATAAAACTATCTGAGGTGGGCACATTTTGTCTTTTTTAATTATAAAATGGTTTATAATTGAATTAAAAAATAAACAAAATAATGTTGGATTTCTAAAAGTTTACAAACAAACAATATATTTTTTTTCTACGTACATGGACTACAATCACACATTAGAGATAAATCACGGTTGCTTGATTCATGGCGTAAAGATTTTGGAGTCACATTAATCCATTTGCCAATAGAAACGTGTATTGGATTTTCAGAGTGTTTACGTAAATCCTCTTTACAAATTGCACCGCACACAAGAGAACTGAATGGTCCAATGGCCGGATTCATTGTAAGTCCCTTTCTCAATCATACTGACAATTTTATTTGAAATGACGTCGTTTACTTGCAGTATCCTCAAATTTTTATTGTTGCATTACTTTAAAGTTGCACCGCTTTATACGGTACTAAGTGGATAACATATCAAAGTTTTGACGACTCGTTCTTATTATCTTACAGATTTTATCTCACTAGCTAGATCATACTTATGTCATATTGTGCTTATGTCTTCCTTTCATGTTACTTCACAAGGATTTTTCCATTTCTTCTCTTCGCAACTTAATCCATCTTTCCGCTATTCTATACTCTTGAAAGAGACATCACGCGCTGTACAATACTTATAGAATACTATTAGTAGCACACGCCACACGGGTATTTCTCATTTAAAATAACGTCCTGTTCCGTGTGATGAGTACAAATCACTTGTTTGGCGACAGTCAACCGACCATTTCTAAGATGTCAAGTTCCTCTGCGTTGAGCATATTATGCATGAAATGCTTCATTATTTCTTTGCAGATACTTAAGCCTAAGAAGTGAAGGTTGTTTTCCACTTTCTCATCCAGTATGTTTGAATGAGCAAGGCAAAACCAGAATTTGGTACTATATATCGGTTATGCTGGTCAGTTCTTGAAAAACACATTACCGAGGATTAGTCATAAAGTGTGCTACCCGTAGTCACTCCTTATAATTTGCTAGTAGATTTACGCATTCCTAGTGCCTCCAGTTGATTATCTTAGTTACTTGAAACATAAGTTTTATTTACCGGGTTATGATACTATCCACTTGACCAGGTTAAAGTAGATAGAGCGGAGTTCGAACATTGGATCTGTTAACTGGAGTTTTATTGCTTAAAGTCACAATCTCTGGTAGCTAACCGAAATCTACTGACTGACCATGCTAAGCTGACACATCATGACACTCTTCATGGATACTTTCAAACCCGAAGCTCCCTGCAAATTGGGTCTTAAATTCTACTACTAATTCAATTAAGACGTGGAGAACAAAGATTGAGCGTAGTGGCCTTCACTTTCTTCATTCCTTTGCGCTCCGAGTGTAACATGGGGAACCGAGCTTCAACTTTGAAGTCTCAGTTGCAGCAGTGTTATTCTGCATTTACGGAGTTCATTTGCTAGTCTTACACTCAACCCTCTCGCTTTATCCGGCTTACTACCGGTTTAGCGAGGTTTAGGAGTTCGTCGGTCAGGGATCGAACCCCGGACCACCAACGCACAATAACCCTCATTATCTTTGTTGAATTCTCCAGTGTTTCTACAACTAGTTAATAAATACAGAGGAGAACATAGTTAGCTTTCTTAACACTTACATAGACTTTAAATTCAACAATGTTGCTTTTCTCAGCGAATGCTTTCACTACCTACTCGAGTGAGATAGATTAGTCACCTACTAAGAACAGTTAGGGTTGGATTTACTCTAGAAGTTTCATACTAACGGTCCTAAAAAGGACCCGCAGGGCATACACTGCTCTGGCTGACAAGAACAACCAAGATACACGGTCTAACTTTATGTTTGTCACATATTCTACAAATGCATATTTTTTTTAATATATTTCAGTCGGGTGCTGTCCCATTGATTAACGCTAGCAAATGAGTCGAATTCGGATGATTACTTGCAAACGGTGTTGTACATACGAGATGTTAACAAATATAACCCTATTCATACAGTCCTATTTATTCTTTTTCTCATAAACGTATATGTCTACTGGGAATTTTGACAGCAATAGGATGACAAACTAGCTCAATAAGCGATATGTGCAGAACGCGACTGACACCACTGTTTGTCAGGAGATATTTCCTGGTTGAAAGGCGACTATTGGGATCACCGCAATATGATTCAATCCAGTCAAAATCAACTGGTATTCCATGTTTCTTAAAACTGTTAGTCCGCTACATAGATTTTAGAAGAAAAAGAAAGAAATTAACTCCAGTGCGTTACTCTACATATGTATTTCTATTCAGAGCCAATGAACAGTCCTGCACAAATGGCGATATACTTCAGATGTAATAATGAGAATTCGGTTTAGGCATTAAACAAATTGTTTGTCAGTCAAAACCCTTATTTATTCTCCAGAATTAGATGTGACGTTGCTTGGTTTTCTGATCAAATTGGCTGGAGCTTTCGAGGATTCTCCTAACGTAGGCCAGCACTCGGAATTGATATTAAAACCTTTAGAAGTCTGTGGCTTCGGAGGACTGCGTGAGAAATGAGCAACACGATCTGGACCAACAACGCTCAGTGCGCCTGCACGAGAAACCTATGCAAGCATTAAAAAAAAAACAGGAAATAAATCCAAATCAGATGCAAACTGTAAAATTGACGAAGCTGGTAAAGAAAAAAATCGCTTAGACACCACTATAGCCTGACATCGAACACGGTGCTGCCCAACTTTTAAACATAGTCAGCTATGTAAAAATAATTGGGCCATCTATTTCAGAACACTTCCTACGCATATACAGAACAAGCTGAAGCTTAACTAAGCGCTAATTCCAGTTACAAGAATGATGGGCCATTAGTGATGACTGCATGGAACTGTCAGTTCTTGGGTTACCTGAAATCTTAAATTAGGAGTCTGTGGCGGTGACCAAATAATATGTAATCTTTATGTAAAGTGCGTAAAGAATACTTAACACACTAATTTAGCGAACTGCCAGTGATGTGAAACATTGTTTGGCTACAGATTATCAGCTACATATAAGTAAGTGTGTGGTAGCTTTGAAGTCACACTGACGATAAGCGCATCAAAACATCACATCAAATTGGAGAAAACTTATGCCCTTACTGAACGGCCCTAAAGTGAATAGTGCAGCACGAGAGGAAACTAAACGGCTTTGTTAGTTCCACTAAAAGATATACCCAAGTGAAATCTCATCAAACAACTAGAACTCATCAGCCAGTATCGAAAGTTACGTGAAACAATAGGTATTTCCAAGTAAAGTATGAAGGGGATGTAGCAAAGCTAAATTAGTGATGGACTGGATTATCAGCAGTGGTCGAGATTTTAAGTTAGGAGTTACCGAAGTAGTTCGCACAGAAAATAGGCGATAGTTGGCTTGTCTCAAGTTTTATGTAACATTAAATGTAGTCAAAACTAAGACTTACCTCTGCAAAACTAACTGGCAATGTACTCTTTTTCTGCGAACTGTTCGTCCCGGATGAGAGTGCGACAAAATCAGACATTTTAGGTTGTTCTAAGAAATATATTTAGTAAGGCGAAGTATACTCACCTTGTTTTTCGGACAAAGAGACATGACCACTCAGAACGAAACCTGGAGCTAAAAAATGTGAACATAAAAAATATTTTAATTATTATATAGAAAATAATGGATGATCTCATTTGTAGGTTTTGTACAAAAAATATCGAAAGAGAGATACACTATACGTCGATTAGCGAGTGAAACTTATTTAAATGCTAATTTGAGCGGTTGACTTAACAATCTATACGTTTGCACATGAATGCATCAGTTCAAGCTGCATATTTCAGGAAAGCATAGACGAAATAGAGGAACTAAATTTGACGAAGTGACAGTGAAAAGTTAAATGAACATTTCCGAAATCTGGAGGATGGAAGAGGAAGGGTTAACAGCACAAACTTAATGCCCTGAAACAAAATTAACCTTTTACCGGTATGTGACGATTTGTTATGAGTGTAAATAGTGATGATGCAACATAACATTGCAACACATACATGGGTTATTGGCATACACCAAATACAAACACCTGGAGAAAAATGACCAACTAACGTACAACTTAGCAAATCAAGGCATTAGTTACGATACCCCTGTTGGTATATTAGCAAGTTTCTTAACGTTCAATAGAATGTACTAGCTTCAGAAAACTAATACCCGACCTATAAACCGCAATATACTTAATTAGAAATTGGCCAAGTATTTGAAAATATCCATATTACCTCCCTAAGAAAATCTTCAACGAATTCTTAAGAATTCGAACCTTCAGTCACACGCATATTTTAATGACGTGATTCAAGATTAAAATTTGTTCTAATGGGAAAATATTTAGCAGCCAATAAGTATACGTCACTGCTGACTGGTAGATCGCTGGCCGACCCATGCACGTAGTCCGGGGTTCGTGTCCCGGTCGGTGCACATCTTCACCCCCCTTAGCCGGTTATAATCCCGACAAAGAGGGAGGTTGGGCGTGAGGCTAACAACCCCACCCCATAAAATTACCACTGCTACTGAAACTTCAGAGCTAAAGCTTGAAGCCTTATGTTTCAGTGGGAACGCAAAGAAATTTTTTAAATGCCAACTGTAACTTGTCATATTTTTTGCCGTTTGTGTTACCTCACAGTCTTTGGACTTATAGATATGGCGATAGAAAATGCAACATTGTCACTTACTAAAAAACAAAATTCCCCTTAACATTTACGTTCCACTTTTTAAGCAAAAGAAAAGTAAATAGCTCTTACGTAGAGATGTGAACTGATTTTCAGCTGCTTCCTTCAGCTCGGTAAGTTTTAGGTCTTCCAATCGACTTCGATCTCGCTCCATTGCACGATTATTTAGAACTGTTGCATAGTGGGCTAGAGTTGCTTCTGATACCAGGGGTGGTTCTAACTCGATTTCTACCAAACTGAAAGCATATCCATTTGGTAAATGGTTGAGATATCGCAACCGTTTACGAAGAAACTAAAACGGAAAAACCATAAAAATGCAATATGACAGGATAGTATATGGTGGTTGTGGTGAGTTCCGCTGAAGCCTTATAAAACCGCATCAGATCTCGCCCTTACACCCACTTTACTTGGTACAATTTAGCCCACCAGAATGGTGTCCACTTTGCAAACGTGACTGATAGAAATCAGTCTGCACTAAACAAAGCACTAGCTACTGACTATTATCCTCTCAAACTTAGCATACTCACCTGGGACCTAATTCACATAGGGGACTTCAGTTCACAGAAAAGAATAGGCACTTTATCATTGTCACAAATAGTGAAGATACTGCGGCATAACGTATAACTACGATAAATACTACTCAGCAGTACAAAGTGGATACTTTACATAGCTTCGCAAAAAAACTTACTGGGTTCATTCGGCAGTTTTTAATCGTGACAACGGTTGTACTAATCTCTTCTGGAAGGTTTTTAATATCTCCATACTCAGTCAACAGGCATCTCCATGCAAGACCATCTAGGTATATCGGCTGACCATCTGTGACTAAAAAGACGTTATTAATGATAACACAGTTACCTTGGTAGAAATAGAGGTCATGAGCAGAGTTATTAGGATTACTCTGAGTATCACCGTCAGGAAGTTTATTTACACCCCCATAAGTGCTAGGCAAAGCACTGTTTTCATGTTTCAATTTGTCGAGAACCAAGTCAATGAAAGGAATAATTTCGGTGTTGCTACCATCTATTTCGCATATGGTCTTGTATGTTAGGAGTTCATTGGTTTCCGTCTCATTGAAATTCATCATTGATGCAATGTCAGCGACGCATACACACTGAAAAACAGTAGCCCCATCTGTTTCAGTGGCTGACCGACGAGTCACCTCACTTCCTGAGCGCCTCACAAGTGCGAAATCCAAATTATCACCCGGCTTTATTTGCGTAGTTGGAACGAGCGACACCCTACCTTTTAAGTTTCAGAACAACTACTCACCTTTTTAAATCATCGAACGGTAGCAAGCAGGAACAGACGGCACACTTTTTGCTGGTAGAATCGTTTTCATACTTTATATATTGTGTTACACAAGGCCAGCAGTAAACGTGTCCACATTTACCCATCCGCGGTGCAACAGGTGAGTGTAGACATATGGGGCATGCCAAGTCACCTTTATTCGGAATCCTTACAGAGAAGACTTCATCCCATTCTGGTGATAATTCACTACTACTATTCTTGAGATATGCACACCCAGGGAGGAGCGTTAACTGACAGCTAAAAGACAGTCGATTATTTATTGGTTAACCTACGAGCCGTGTATGTAGCCATCGTAGCTTGATTCCGGAGAGTAGTTCTTCCCGGAACTCTTTCCTACGTACGTATTGATGGGAATTGCATCATAATCAATACACGGATCATAAAATCCTTTAGACCGCTTCTTTGACTGTCTGCACCTGACTTGAAAACGGTTGACTGCAGAGCGCTGACTTGATGAAGATCCCAGCAGGCTGGTGCACATTTTGCCATCTACAAAGGAGTTAGAGTTTAATGTTATACTGACCTTTTCTTTCTGAGATGCTGGGGCGCTGAACGTTCATGGGATAGCGCACTAGCGAGTTTTCCATCGGTGGAAGGAACTTTTCTCTTGAAAATTATCGCAGATTGGTTTAAGTAGTTGAAAACCATATTTAGAACTCCATTATATCAAAATATCTAATAACAAGAACAGTTGGAAGTATGTGTTTGCCAATCCAAAGTTGTAAATTGGGAAAAAAATGGGCTTTCCGGAAAATACGTTGGCAGCGCCAGTAGCACCAGAGCTGATTAAAACTTAGTGCGACCTAAATTCAACATTCCTACCTCGCATACAAAAGCTCTATACTCTTTTCAGCAGTCATCTCTGACTAAAAAAACTTTCATAAATACTTCTCACTCGGACATACATAAAAAACTTACCTAGTTAGCTACATACACCAGTGACCTGTTTATATCGCTGAGCACCTTTTAGAACTACTACTATTGATTTTTCGAAAGAAACTGAGGGGGGAACACTGCACGTTATAAGAAATTACTCTGAGTAGAACAATAACTATTCTAATAATATGCTACGGTTACTAATTTACTTGAAGATTGGATGGATGCTGAGAATTCTGTGCAGCGTGTGACCTCATTTTTCACAATTAAGCTATAACATACCTTGCAGACTATAGGAAACTAAAAGTAACTACTGGCAGGCTACAAAATTAGTAGATCTGGAAGAAAGAAGAATGTTGGTTGATAGCGAAGTCAATGCAGGGCATTTGTGTTGTTTAACCAGAAACATAGTGGACGCTAAATTGCCTGATAACAAAACACTAACACCATTTGCCATACGAATCTACTAATTCTTTTGAATTTCGTTCCCTTCAGGGTAATTAATAACACAGGACTAGCTTTCTTGACGATCATTCAAGAAAATGCCTTAAAATTAACTAGAAAACAGCCTGACAAATACTGAGTCATGGAGGCTGACTTTTAACCATCAACCGTGATTTAACCGCCTATATGTTTATATCAGTGATATGTGATTTGCAATAGTCGCCGTCGGTATCGATATTCGGCACTGACCGATGGCTTTCAGTCAGTATTCATGCAACCACAACTGGTGGCCATCGAATTGACAACATTTTTAGTTTCAGTTGTCAGGTCTCGTCACAAACCAACATCAAATAGAGACCAAATAACACTTTCAGTCTGCAAACAGCCGATAAAATGACGGTAGCAACATTGATGTGTTGCGCATTGCGGACACCAAGGGTGAATTAGAGGAGGTCATGTGAAGTGGAGATGAAAGCGTGTGGGCATACTTGAAGCCAGGTGAAAACTTTAGCAGAGAGCCGAACGCAATGAAGGCGTGCAGCTGAAGCCCTATGTTCCTCTAGGAATTAAAGGAAAAGATAATAATACATTGCGGCCATCCACTGATTACTCAGAAACATTCGTCAACACTCAGCATAGTTAGATAGAACTTTCTGTTCAGTTTACCGCCTGCGTTAGTTAAGGTTCAGCTTTATTTAGAAGGAAAAACACTTCACTGGATATTCTAGAGGAACTACTATGTATCGCTGGGAGTTTCAAGCATCGCACACGAACTGTAAAACACCTTGTTATAATAAAAAAGTGAAGGCACTTTGGATGACTGAATACAAACCTTACCACCCTAACACTCTGTAGTCTAGTAGCTCACAGACAACATCGCCAACTAGGAGGGAGTCAATGATTTATGAAACGTTAATGACCACCAATTGTGTTTCAGACATTTGCACGGTACTACATATCTGCATTCTGACGAAGTCTTCGTAGACGGCCATTATTTCCTAGATCATTTCAGAATTTGGGTGGCTGCGAATATACTCCTACATCCAAAGTACACCTTTTCTATCAGTTTTACGTCTAGTAATGAGCTGTTAGATACCAATATCATGCTTTTGTAGGTTGTTTTTCATTCCTATGAGCGTTAGATAATTCTGTTATAGATATACATATCATTTGCTAAAATTTGTAATTAACTGTCCGCCGGTCATTTTGTTCAGGCATTACGTACTATGCACTTAGATATAGGATTGCTGGAAACTTAAGATTTGCAATGTAATCGCCAGATGCATTTTTCGAAAGATGGTCTAACAGAGTCTCCATCGTTTGGGTTCCAATTTAACTCTATTTGAAACAATTTGGTATTCGCCGATAAAAGAGGGAGGCTGGCGCATGCTGATTAGCAGATATGATAGTGGTCACAAATGTGAATCACTCCGATCTGTAGAACAGCAACATGCTTTTTCGACACCTTGAGAATTAAACATTAGTCTGGACCCTCAACAAAATAAGGGTTGTACAGATCTAAATTATAAGTAAAGAAGTGCTTTTGCTCCTACCATCTACAAGCCTGTTCAGCTTCTTGTCAAGATGCTACCCGTTGGGCCCTACAGAAATTCGTGAGACATCTTACAGGTAAGCTTGTCCTACGGGTTCTAATTTTCCAGATCTTTGAATTCACTCCTCACTTAAATATCACTTACCTGCCTCACAATAATCTTTTCATTTACGCACTATTATACTCTACTTTTATGCTAACTACCTAGGCCATTATTAAAGCTAAAACTTGCTCTTTGTTCATATTTGTTGCTTGCCCAAAGTCTGGTTGCTTTGATTGAAAACACAACAACACCAATGTTTGAACAAAGCTATATCTTCATCGAAAACATCATAGTTTCCATGCTTAGACCAATATGGTTATCATTAAACATTGCAAATGTATACTATCATTTCAAGTACTATATAGCTTCTTCTTGTATTTATCTTGTAAATTTATTTCCAATAATGTATTATTCATAACTGCATTTTATACCATTTTGCAGCTGTGCAAAAGTTTCTATTCCTCCTGAAATAGCGTTCAATAGCGTGGCGGCATAGAACTCACCCAGATATACGCTGTTAACTGGTTGACCATAAGTATCAGCAGGAAATGGAACGAAGTTTGGGTTGTCGCTCAACTTTGATGGTGACCTTAATAAATGGTTTACAATTTAAAATTTATAAGAACATGTTCTGATTGCTTGTACAATAATTGAACAATTTAAACTTTTGAAAAAGTATTAATTTATGATACTTCAGGACTGTAATTTATGACATTACTGATCGTGCCTGTAAAAATGGCATGCATTTCTTGTAAACTTTCCTGTTTATACGAAACATAAATTATTATTATTTGATAGTTATTAGCGTATTGGTTATAATATTTCGGTCATTTAGTGTGCACATTCTCCCAGTCATAGAAGTAAATTTTTTATTTATCTGGAATATACAAATTCTGGGTCGCTTTTGGTGTGACACTTTACCTGTTGCCCAGATCTTCATGTTTTTGACAAGCAGAATGGGCACATGAGGTATTATCGGTACATTGTTTTCGGGGTCTTATGGAAAGACTTAACTTGATATGATAATGAAAACTCGCCTTCGTTGGAAATCTCCAACGACTACTTCATTCTCTCAGTTAGTGATTGGAAGACGACCCTCATTTCTGCTCTCTTCAGTGGTGCAGGCCAGCAAAAAGCAATCGACCAGCAGCACTACTTTCTATGGTATTGTTGATCTGGCTGATGAACATATCCGGCAACAGTTTAATAGGAATAAACACTCAATGAAGCATGGCATGGTTTCCGGAGAGGTAGACCCCGTACAACAATTCTATTGTTGGCACATAATGACTGAAGTCATGCTGGGATATCAACGTTCCAGTCCATGTGGCCTACCGCGATTAGGCAAAGGCGTTTGATACCGTTCAGCACGACCATCTCCTCCACAAAATAGGTCAGATGCGTATTGGCAGTCCGCTACTTTCATGGTTGGAGGACTACTTGGGTGAAATAGATTTCCATACCAAAATCCAACCGCGTCCGGTCATCCTGGCACAGCTTGACGAAGGGAGTCCGCCTCTAAACAAACAGGTTCACGAAAACCATGAACGTCAATAATTGGCGGTGAATTTTGGCTGGAAGCTACTGATTTTGCATCTT